AGGCTGCTTCCGCCCTGGCTCGTGTAGCTGATGAAAAGGATGCTGAACACTATTTTTGGTTCAGATTTCAGAAGGCAAAACGTGCGTATGAGAAATTGTGGAATGGCTCTTACTTTAACTATGACAGCAGTGGCGGGAGTTCAAGTTCATCTATTCAAGCTGATCAGTTGGCTGGACAGTGGTACATTTATAAACTATCTTGAAGTTCTATAATAATAATAATAAAAAGTTCAGCATTAATATAAAAATCTGTATGGTCTTCTGATGGAAGCTTAATATTTATGTGAAAGGTATGCTAGAGCCTCAGGTCTTCTTCCCATTGTTGATGGAGAGAAGGCCAAGAGTGCAATGGAGAAGATATACAATTACAATGTGTTGAAGGTGAAGGGTGGGAAGCGAGGTGCGGTAAATGGGATGCTTCCTGATGGAACAGTGGACTTTTCATCAATGCAGTCAAGAGAAATATGGTCAGGAGTGACATATGCTGTTGCTGCTACAATGATCCATGAAAAATTGACTGATATGGCATTTCAAACAGCGGAAGGGATCTATGAAACTGCATGGTCAGAAGATGGCCTGGGGTAAGTAAGATCATATATATTTTTCTTTTTCCTCTTCCATTGTGTACACTGTTTTCAATCAAATCCCAGATGAACTTTCAACTGTCAACTGTCAACTGTCATATTTATGAACTTTTTGTTGTTGGTTGTGGTTAGATACAACTTTCAGACACCAGAAGCTTGGACAACCACAGATCGGTATCGAGCGCTGTGTTACATGCGACCTCTTGCGATTTGGGCTATGCAATGGGCACTTTCAGAAAAAATATCCATCATTGAGGAGTTGAAAGAACTTGACAATGAGGCCATATTAAGGCACCATGCCAAGTTTTCCAAAGTTGCCCGCCTTCTGAAGTTGCCTGAAGATGGGACATCTGCAAGTGTTATACAAACGGTCTATGATTATACTCTGAAGAGGTTTTTCTAGATTCTGTCAATCCACTTTTGGTTCGATATATTATAATAAACTAAAGGTATCACTTGTACCTTCTTCATTCTGCTGTGAGTTTAAGATGAGTGAATCTAAATCTCTAAAAGCGGTTGTTTATCTTCCCATCTTAAACTTTTGGGTTTGATCAAGGATTATTTCTTCTTAAAGACAGTAACCTATGAATATGCTGAATGCTGAATTGCTGTGGTGGAATAAAGCTGTTATTCTTGGGCATGGTGCTTGACGTGGATCCTAAACTTTTTGTTTTGGTGTTTGTGTGTGTCTTTGCTCATTTTAGTTTGGGAAGGGACCCAAAAAGATTAGGTTTAATAATAACAAAACCCAAAATGACCATTTTTATAAGATGACATCATATTAGTTTTTAGTAAAAAATACTTGATAAGTAGCCTACTTGTAGAAAGCTCTGGATTGTGTTTAATACCTAATAAGTAACCTAACTTGTAGAAGGCTTTTGATTGTGTTTATAGATGCAGCTAAGGTACCACACTATTAACCCTTGATCATTAGCCTTGTACGTACATGAAGATCTACTCTTGAGAACCTAGGTTTTGAGTCCTTGATTAGTCTAGGCCTTAGTGTCGTTCTATGTACCTATGTGATCCCTCGTCTCTCCCAAAATGGGTTTATGAAATGAATGTTCTATCAAGAAACCCACGTTCATTTCCACCCACAAAACATAGACATAAGTCTTGAAACTAAGGCACTGTCTTGGCTAGACCACTCTAGGTCATATGGTTGGTACAAAAATTGAGGTGCCATCGGGAAGAAAAATCATGCATGTCAGTCTACCAATCACGGTAAATCATCCTGTTATTCAGAGCAAGGCATCCCTCCAGCTAAGGTGAGGAAAGCGTGAACTCTTGGCATACCAAAAATGTGGGAGGTCTTCGGTGACTTAGGGTAGTCACCAGGCTAAGCTAGGTTTATTTCATGACATGGAACTTAGCTATCAATGCCTTCCTAGTTGTGCCATGTCATGGATTTAGCCTACTTGATAGACTATACTTTTCGGAGTGCACAACCTCTAATGTTCTACTTACTCATAATTACTTTATTTCATTGCAGGCATATCAATTTCATATTTAAAACGTATTTGAATTATTATTAAATCAATTAAACCTTCCTAATAGATACTATTTCAATTTTCATGTTATTCAAAGCTCATTTGGATATAAAATGTATTAGAAGGCATTTTCGTCTTTTTCACCATTAACGATGGTTTAAGCCTAAAATAGTTTTATAGGTCAATCCCAAGTAAAGTTTGAGAAAAGTTTGTTTAGACGTGTTCGAGAGCTCGATTCGTGTCCTTTGGAAACTCAAAATTCCTCAAATTATCTCGTGGAGGTTTCTTATTGAACTAGGTTTTCAGAACCATGGTTAATTTGTAAGAACCAATAAAAAAAGAGGACCAAATTGAATCGACCATGTCATCATTTCCTACCTGTGGCAAGGAGGAGATGTGTGCGACTTATACTTCAAGGTTGGTTTCTTCATCAAACCTGTAACCCAGTCATCAAGGACAGGGTCACAGGTTTTGGTCATTAAGCTTCTCGAAACAAAATGGGATAGTTTTTAGTGAGACAAAGTTATTGATGTCTAATAGAAAGATTCGGGATTTGTTAAATACCTCAGTGAGATAGGTCAAGTTTTCTAGGTTGTCATCCTAAAGGGATTGATTTATTGCAACCCTCGAGTATTTCGGTGCAAAAATAGGATGGATCGTGGTGAATGTTATGACAAGACCCTAGAGATAGCTAAAGTTATGCAGTAGTTTGAGTGATAGTAGGTTGCTTGAAAACAATGCATGCTTAAGTTTTGACAAATAAATCTCATGGCAAACTTACGAGATAGTGTTGAGTAGAGATTCTTGAGTTATATCGGATGTTATAACAAGTTTGCACCATATGCATAGTAAAAATGCAGTACAATTTTTCATCCTCAGACCGATGGCTCAACAGAAAGGTTGAGTCAGGCTTGAAAAACACATGTTGTGAGTTTATATTCATCAGTGAGTAATTACTTTTATTCGATGATGATCGAGCGTGCATATCCCATGTGTGATGGGATAGGTTGAAAAGAACAAGCGGTTAAGTCTTGAGTTTGTTGTTTAGGAGAATAGATGAATATACATTTGTAGACAATAGTTTGGTGTTCAGTATAGAAACTCAGAGTACGAAGACATGTACAACGAATGAATAGAAGTTATAGCAAAAATGAATATAAAAATATACTAATAACGTGCATGTAGACTCTAATTGAATCTCAATCCTATTAGCTTAATACTACATACATACATCGTAGAGGATATCAAGGGAACCATAAGGTACTTTAGCCTATTCAAAGCTTCTAAAATTTTTTAATCTCTCTCTCTTGAGTTCCCTAGGTTTTACCCTGTCGGGTACTTACCGACTCTCGAAATCTATAGCTCATAGTTCATCTTGGTCTGGTGCAATTGAGGCGCAACTTGTGTGTGATATCTTATCATGTTGCTTGTGAATGCACGCCTACTTATTACATTTCACAAGGTCTTATAGACTAAAAGAAGTTCATAGATAATGGTCAAGGCCTTAAACATGCAAAAATCTATCATAGGAGATCATGCTCAACTAACATAACATTCCACGTCAACTCCCACGAGTATTTCTTAAGGAAAAAAAAAAAAAAAAAACATCTAAGATGGTTACTTACATATTCGGGACGTTGATGTTTGTACGTTTGGGACTTGAATGTCAACAAATTTCTTTGAGAAGTCCTAACTTGGATCAAAATAAGGAAACTGATCCTGCAACTTTACACCGATCAGGCCCTTCCAAGCGGTATCTTTCCTCAATATCTTCTACAAACCTGTAAGTATACTCCTTATGACTCCAAAGGAAGAAATATTACCTCCTTTTATTTAGAAATGAAGGAGAATTTTGAGAGCAATCGTGCTTTTGGGTTTGATTATTGAGTTTATAACTCGGATTAAACCTTACCCAATGACATTGAGTGTGGGGACGAGTTTGTTCTTGAACTTCTAGACAAAAAATTTACCTAAAAGTATCTTTCTTTAATTGGCTCGATGTAAGTCTCCTCAACCCTCAATTCCTTCATGACTTTTGTTCTTTGAACTTTTGATATCAAAACTCCCAGAATTTGCTTCCAGATTCTCATTGACTAGTTTTACCTTTATTTACAAATCATTTGTGAATTCTTAGCCATTAAAAATCAATATATATATATATATATATATATATATATATATATATAGTTTCCAATTGAGTTTTTAAAACATAGGTACAAAATAAAAATAAAAATATTTGGATGTGATGTATTTATAGACTTAATTTTTAAAAAATAAAAAATTTAAATCGCATATACACGAATTCTATTAACTCTATTCAAGGTTGGAAACTAAAAAATACTTGAATAAAATTGAGACCTCAAAAATTGTTTGGTGAAGTGAGATTAAGGCCTATTTTCAGTTATAGAGGAATCCCACTTTGCTAGATTTGATATTAGATGTGGTCTTTATAATGTAGGTTGTGTCACCAACCTTTGCCGAGCTTGGTAATGCGAGCTTATGACTCAAATGAGAGCATTAAAGTAGATGGAGGGTTGGCTCAACCCTTTGGGTAGGGTCTCCATGGAGTGAATATTTGGCTTGTCCATTCCAAGGTGGGAGTTGGGCCGTTGTCCATGGGTGAAGGCTCGTGGATAGCCTGCCCTTGGAGACGGAGGAAACTGCGTGAGGCTGGCTTCACAGAACAGCGTAACCTTCCTCTCCTGTAGGCGGAAGGATAGCAGGGCCGGTTCTCCATACCCCGATAAATACTTGGTGGGTAGTCCTCAACCCAACAATCACTTTTTTATTATTATTATGATTTTGTTTAATACCATCTATTATTTTTTTAGTTCAATTTTTGTATGAATATTTGGATATAAAAGTTTGTCCAATAATAAATAAATTAGTCTATGAATTAGATAACAGAAGAGCAGAAGAGCAGAAGGAAATGCGTAGAGGAGAGTAAGCTTCTTACATTAAATGCTTTACATTACAGAATTAGAACAGTAATGGCACATGAAACTAAGCTCATGTCCCTTTAAATTCATCCCTCGCCCTCACTCTATGCAGAATACAATGTTTCCTTCAACTCTCCTGCTAGAAACATCTCTCGAATCGGGTAACGATGTTGAATGTTCCCGCACGCGGGATAGGAGGACAGATACCTGCTTGGTTGCAAAATCAAGCCTCTCCCGGGACTTTGCAGATTCGGTAACAAGAGTTGTCACCATGCTCTGCAACAACTGAGTCCTTTCACCATGATCATTTGTAGTACTTTGAAGGAGCTTTGCCGATGGCATGCTTATCCTTCTCCATCGTACGGGAAGATAGCTTTCGGGTATCTGGAAACAGTTTACGGTCGATAGGACTCGAAGAGCATGGCGGCAGAGTATTCCTGAGAACTCAAACTGACGGCAGCTGCAACTTATGATACCTTCAGGATGAACCCAATATACCTTCCGACCTCCATCAGCTTTCGTATGATGCCTCACGAGAAAGCCATCATCCATTTGAAACGATGCGTAATGGGCTGCCAATACGAGTTGTTCTTGAAGCTTTGAGAAGGTAAAAGGAGTGAGGATAGTGGCAGCGTGGGATTCCATTGGGGCCCCTGTTTTGAGGCTGATATTTTGAAGATTTTGTTGCATTGTTTGTTGATCTTTGAAATCCACAGCATCAGCTACCTGAATATGCATGATTTTATCGAAAACTATCAGCAGCACGAGCCAAACACAAATGAAAAACCATCCAAATCAAGGGCATGTGAAATATACATGAATTCCACGACGCCAAGCAATAAAAAACAGGAGAGTTTCACTTGTTTTGGCTATCGTGCCCATGTGCTTGCTTCTACCCATTACACCTACTCTAGACTGATTTATACTCCAAGCAGAAGATCAATCATATTATACATATGGTAACACATCACTTTTCCATCAATTAGGAAACCGTTACGAACATGATCTCAACATGATAGGAATGCATTTAATTAATAAGCAACAAAGAAAAATAGTTATGTAAGAAGACGAAATTTCTACTTGAAATTTCTCCTATGATTCTCACGTGTTTGAAAGAATCACACACCAAAATAGTATTTCGAGACTCGGTATATCTAGCACACCCAAGGATAGATTCAATATCTGTTCATAAAATATGAAAGTAATCATCAAATTCTGTGATATGACAAGGAGAATAATAGCACTAAAAATCAACATCAACAATAATTCCTGCATTGTGCTGACATCAATCCATATGGGCTAAATTGACCCTATATTTTAATCACAAAGAGGAGATGAAAGAGACTTGATGAAGTAGCAAACAAACAGTTATGGATTCAAAAACTGCACTGGATAAACGGAAACAGTAAGATAAATCAGCATACCTGTTCAATAAACTGCCTAGGGTGAGTTTGTGCACTCAAAAATCGCTGAATAAAAGCATTAATTGTTTTTGATTGGTCAATAGTTTCCATTCCAGCAAAGAAATGGCTTCTCAAGAACGGTAATGCCCAAAGAAAACGCGTACTGTACAAGTTGGCTATGGGACTATTAGTATGCAGACCAAAGGAATACACCATATCCCTCCACCCTATTTCAAAATCCTCAATTGACTCCAGATTATATAGTCGATAGAATTCCCTTTTCCATTCATTGTAACGTTCTCCAAGAACAGCATTAAACCATGATGGAAACTTCGCCACAATCATCCAAATACAAAGTGCATGCTTAGTAGTTGGGAGTTCCATGGCTATTGCATCTTTGAGACACAGATTCTGGTCGGTTAATATTGTCTGCGGAGCCTTCCCATTCATGAACCCCATAAATGCCTTCCATAGCACACGAGAAACAAACAAATAAGTTGAAAGTGATGAACTATTTAAATAGATGTCATGTCCATCCCTGAGCCATAATGAATGAAGGGAAATTTCGAAATTAAAAACTGCAATGGCATGGATACTAAGAATGCTTGTTTTATTTTCTAGAGTTGAACACAAGGATCATTAATATTATAATTACCAAAGGTTACATGCTCAATGTGATACACTGAATGACAAAGAAATAATATTTAAACTATAGTACCTTCAAAGCCCATGTAAATGATCTCAAATTCTTCTCCCGAAGAAGTACACAACTTAAGAGACAAGGCATGCCATAGTTATTAATTCCAACCCATATCCCAAGTGGCATGTCAAATGCAGTCAATCGATGTGTGGTATCGAAGACCACTGCATCACCAAATATCTCATACGCCTGAATGGATGATGCATACGACCAGGCAATGTTCTCTAACCTGTTGTTTGAGTCGATCATAAACTCGAATATGAAGTTTGGATCTTTCTCCTTAATGTTTTGGCACATCCGCAATAAGTCAATGCTCTCTTCTTCATGTTCTAATTTTCTAAATGATTGAAGTAGATTTCTTACATCCTTCTCAGTGAAAGGCAAATATCCTGGCTCCAAACCTTTCTCTAACTCCATGAGCCTCATCATTTGCTGCACAGAAATTCCTGATTTGGCATACATAACAATTCGAGCCTTGTCCATCTCAGAAATAGTTCGATATGCTGGAAGAAAACGAACTTGGTTTGGTTCTAATAGTTCATGATTATGGTGGTTTGCAAAACCAGTGACGCGCCACTCTGCTGGTCCAAGTTCCATTGTCTTGCTTATCCTCATATATGCTTGACATCCACAACGAGAGGATTTTCTATTTCTTTGAGGCTTATTTTCGCTAGGTGTTTTAATAGGAGTGTTCCCAGCACGATGACAAACAAAATAGCGTCTCGTAAGGCCTTTCCCAATCCCATCTTTTCCCTCTGTTCGATGTCTTCGGATTGAGAAGCCACATCTCTTTGCAAATTCACTATAAAACTCATAAGCAGAGTCATGAGTAGGAAACCTTTGCCCTATATATGGAGTTGCATCATTACTTAAATCCTGGGACATCCTGGTTTCATCAGGTGACTCATCCGTGCTGCCGGGTTCTTCTAAAGACGGGGACTGTTGGTCAGAAGGATCATCATATGCCACCAACAATGGTCCAGTCTCTTCAGACATCATATCTCATTTAACTCCTCAAGTTCAACTTAAGCCCTGGCTTTACATTTAGAAATCAACAAATGAGATGAGAATAGGGCAAGTTCAAAAGATTTAGCACTCCTTAAAAATCCAAAGCAATTCTTACCCTTTCATTTTCAGGAAGCAATAAAACCATTGCAAATCAAAATTTACAGCTTACAAGTACAAACATTCCAATTCACTTCTTGTTCCTGTTCGTTTAAAAAATGATTAAAAAAATGGCGGAACAAGAATTAAAAACTTGATTCCGTTGTTCTGAAATACACATTTTAAAAACGTTTCTAAGAAACGAGGAATGAGAAATAAAACCGTCACTACTAAATGCTTGCGTTTCTAGAATGTAATCAAACAAAGCTGAAAGCTGAAACATAGTGCACATACTTGGTAATGATTTTCAAAACGAAGCTTATTTTCCTTACAACACTGTTATCACATCATATTGAAGTTAGAGCCAGAATTGACCAAATGAACTAAAACCTTCGACTGCACAGATCATAAGTTTCAAGCAAAACACATAAGAAGAAGGCCTACACGTCTACGTTTGATAATAAGAAAAAGAAGAAGAACAATTAACAATTGGGGCAGGTGTCTATTATGAATCTGGAGTAGGAACAAACTGAGATACAGAAGATGATATATATATATATATATATAGAGAGAGAGAGAGAGAGAGAGAGAGAGAGAGGACGCTTTTACCGCGTTTTAAAGGTGTAGATGGCGCCATGAAGATGTGAAAGTGAAAGGAGCAGAGCCCTAAATTGCGCAGGGAGGAGATCGGAGGCAATATATACTTCCTGCGCACTTTCTTATCCAACGCCTATTCTCCACAATTTCTCTTCCCCTCTTCGACGCAATATTGGGCCCAAAACGCCCCGTTTTCACAATTTGGGTCGTGGGTTCGCCATGTTCGGCGTTTACTTTTGGATCATTTTTTAATATAAAATAATATTTAATATATTCAAATATATATTATTTAAATAATATTTAATATTATCAACTGTATAAAATATTTATTTAAACATTTTCAAAATTTTCTTTTAATTAATATGATGAACCTATATTATAATAAGTTTCAATGATGAAAAATGGATTAACTAAACTATTTACTGGTTGCTCAAAATTCTATTTTACCCCTATAACTACCTCTAATAATTTAAGTATCATTGATCCTCCAATGAACAATTTGGTTATGATCCAACCATAAACTATGTTCTTCTGAGACTATTGAAAAGATACGAGTTTACTTTAAAATTTATATGGGAGTGACTAAATTCAATTTGGTAAGACAACCCAAACTGACCCAACTTGAATTATAGAGATTGAGTTGGGTTGGATTAATTGTTTGAACTCCAATAGATTCAGTTCGAGTCTCGGGTTCATGGGACAAAATTTTCGAGTTGACCCTAACTTGAAAAAATCTTATAATATATATTAAGAATTCTAGTGTATTCATATGTTTGCTAGAGTGGTAATTCAACCTTACTAGGAATGCTCCACATGTAGGTACAACTTTAGCTTCTAGATCAACATTTAGTATGAGGCGAGAGGGTTATTGATTATTTTAGGAGTTATGAATAACATATCCTAACAAGAGTCCAATAATGGTGTATATTTTTTTGTATATAAAAGGAAAAAGAATCCTAATCCAACCGGTGTGACAGTAGAAGGAGAAGAAAGCCAAAAAGAATTGATTAGGCCAAAGAGGTAGACGTGAGAGCTGTAAGGAAGAGAACTTCCCTGGAAGAACAACAACAAATCTTGATAACTCTCTAATTCCTTACTTTCTTTTCTTATTCTATCAATTTTACATGATTGAAGGGAGTTCCTCTTTTTAATTCAGTTTGTATGGAGAGCTAAACTTTATATAGGGGAGGTGAGAAAGTTTTATATAGTTTATTTATGTTGACGGTGTGTTTTTAGTTTATTAAAGATGTGTTGTTAATGATTTACCTACATAGTCGTTCTCTTATTCGAAAGAAGAGAGAGAAATGAGAGAGAATTTCATTAGTTTAAAATCACCAACCCCATTTGAATGAATTTTCACCCATAAAAGTAACTAAAATGTTAGGTTCTATATGGAATTGATAATTTACTTTTTACTTTCTACTTTGATAGAGTATACTTGCACTTATTTTTGTGAATTTTACTATCATTTTATTATATACATCCACAAGCGATCAATAGATTACCTAAATGGATTTCAACTTTAATCTATTTTTCTTATAATACTATGTTTCCAACTCCTTATTTGATCAAATTCTCAAAATAGTAGGCATATCAGATCACCTATAAGAGACATTCTCACCCATGCAAATCAAAGAACAAGCCTGGGTGGGTAGAAGTTTATAACTCACTCAGGATTAAGATCAAGTCGCACATGATTATCATGTGAAATATTAATCTTTTCAATTAACGGATTTATAAAGAGACATTAAATATTTCTTGGTCCAGTCTTATACAAACTCATTGTATAGGATAACCACACTCACATGTCTCCACATGAACGATTTGGATCAAATTATTTGTAAAGATTACAAAGTGAGTCGTATCAATAATGTTACCAGGATAAGGCACCCAATCTTATTCATATACTATAGACCCTTTAAGTTATTGCTTGAACATTATCATCCTATATGTCAGCCACGTACTGTTCAAGATTACATTAATAACCTTGAATTTTAATACTAGGAATAATATTAAATGGTAAATAAAATAATAAAAATTATTATAAAAAATTAAATAGTTAATTATGAGGCTTTAGGGCATAAATCACAACCGGATGTACTAACTCTAAGAAAATTAAGGTACCTTGTGCTTTATACATGTTGAAATACCAGGTACATTGTTTTAATGTAATTCCTCTGGGCATATTCATTGACTTTAGAGTATTACTTTAAATTTATGAGGTATTAGGTTCTAGCTCTAAGCTCTAAGGTTTCTTTTACCACACGAGAAGTTAATGACATGAGGTTCTTAAGCATTAAGATTTCATGCATGGGTCTTTAATGAGTATCATGTCATCATCGTCCGATACTTATTGGACTTCATGAGTTATGACATGTAGTCGATCTGATAGTTTTCTTCATCATGTCCCATGACTACTCCTTGTGAAAACCTAAGAAATCACATGATTGGTTAACAATAAGAATGTGACATCTTGCCAGAAATGTTGTCAGGGTATTTTGAACATTGGCAAGACGAGGTTGTAAAAATTGTAGCAAGATAAACCTGCAAAGTATGAGTAGATGTCTTGTAAATATGATGCAGGGCATCCCATCTAGGTGAAGAAATCTTGAAACACTTTATCCTGCTAGAGCTAGTGTAGGACATCCCACCTAGATGAGAAAACATGAACATCCCATTAAAATTCGAGTAGGTATTTCATTTAGATGAGGAAAAACATAAATATCATGATATACTGCATGATGGGAGGTTGAGGGTCACTTTGGGCATGGTTAAAGTATTATCTAGTTTTAATGGGGTTATGGTAACTTTAGGATATTTCGTTCCTTAGTTCTAGGAATACATAATCTTCCTTGACATAGCAGTTCATCATCTGAGAATTTGAAGAAACTGTCTACTGGGCCTTCTGCTAAATGGTTCAGTATCTTGTCTCGGCTAGAGTTTTCTCATTGAGACTCAATAATTCTCTATCATAGTGTGAGTTGCACAGTAAGTCGAGTCATCTGCACTATAATTCCCTCAGTTACCATAACTATGTTAGCTCACTCGAAGTCTATTTGTACTCGTGACTCCCTGGTAATGAGGATCGACGAGTGTATCGTTTTCCGACTTAGGGCATCCACGACCATATTTTCCTTTCCAGGGGGATACTAGATATCTATGTCGTAATCCTTCACCAACTCTAACAGCCTTCATTATCTCATGTTCAGTTCTTTCTAGGTAAAAAAATATTTTAGACTCTTGTGGTCGGTGAAGATTTGAGTCTTCTCTCCATACAGGTAGTGTCGCCAAATTTTTAATGCGAACACTACCCCATCCAACTCTAGGTCATGTGTGGGGTAGTTCTTCTCATACTCTTTCAACTGACGGGACGCATACGTAACAACCTTACCATATTGCATCAAAACACTCCTAGTCCCTTATTGGAGGCATTGTTGTATATCTCGTATCTCCCTGAACTTTCTGGTACTATGAGCACTAGGGATGTTACTAACCTCTCTTTTAGATCTTGGAAGCTCGCGTCACATGCATCATTCCATACAAATGGTACACCCTTTCTCGTCAATTGTGTAAGTGGTGAGGCTATTCTAGCCAAGTCTTGTACAAATCTTTGGTAGTATCTTGCTAATCCCAGAAAAATCCGCACCTCTGTAACTATAGTTGGGCGTTCCCTATTAGTGAGAACGTAAATCTTGATGGGGTCTACTGAGATTCCATCCTTTGACACCACGTGTCCCAAGAATGAGACTTGTCGTAGCCAAAATTCACACTTGGAGAACTTGGCTTACAACTTATTCTCTCTCAAGATGGTTTGAACTTTTGGAGGTTTTCTTGGTGTTCCTGATCCATTTTTCAGTATACTAGAATGTCGTCTACGAACACGATAACAAATGTGTCGAGACACTCCTTGAATACTTGGTTCATTAACTCCATGAATACAGCTGGAGTGTTGGTGAGGCCAAACGATACCACTACAAACTCGTAGTGTCCATACCTTGTCCTGAATGTTGTCTTTGGTACATCCCCTTTTTTAATCTTAATTTGATGGTATCCTCACTGAATTTCTATCTTGGAAGATATCGTCCCTTCCCTGAGTTAGTTAAACAGATCTTCAATATGAGGGAGTGGGTACTTATAATTTATTGTCTTCTTGCTCACTTTTCTGTAATCGATACACAATGTATCGAGTCATCTTTCCTCTTGACAAATAACACTAACGCACCCCACAGAGATACGCTTGAGCGGAGGAAGTCTTTATCTAGTAAGTCTTGTAATTGCGCCTTGAGTTCTTTCAAATCTACTAGTGCCATGCGGTAGGGGGCTTTAAAGATAGGTCTGGTTCCTGGTTCGAGTTCGATAACAAAGTCTACACCTCTAGATGGGAGTATTCCTAGTAGGTCTTCCAGAAACACATCAGAAAATTCATTTACTATAGGAACCTTGTCTTAGATCTCTTCTATTCCTCTTACATCCATGACACTTGCTAATATGACCCAACCCCCTTGTTGGACTAATCTCTTGGCTTTCATTATCGAGACTATCTTCAGGGTAACTCCAGTGCATGTAGCTTTGAACTTAAAATTGGATTCGGACGGCATTGAGAATATTACTTCCTTTTTGTGATAGAATATAGTAGGATAGTTTTTGGCTAATCAATGCATCCCTAGTATTACATCGAAGTCCGTCATGCTAGCAACTATCAGGTCTATGCTTAAGGTTCGTTTAGCTACAGTTACTTGGCCATCTTTTACTCTATCCTTAGCAACGAAGTCTACCCCCACTAGGGTGCTTATAGACAATACATGCAATAAGGGTTCTGTTAAGGTCGCACAACAACGCACACGCTCGATCTAGATGAACACAAAGAACAGAATAGAGAAAAGTGCAAAGAGAACTCTGGCTAAAAGGATTTTTTTTTTTTATTGATGACTTCACATATGTACAGTAAGAGAGAATTACAGAGAATACAGAAAGCACATTTTCAAAGCTCTACCGAACGAGATATATATATGGTTCAGTTTACTATATATAACTTTACTAGATTTAACCATCTATTATATATAGTTATTTACCATATATAGCTTTACCGGATATAGCTTCACTATATATGGCTTTACCATATATGGCTTTACCAAATATAT